ACTAATTTAGTAGTGACTCGGCTACCCAATAAGCTTAGACCTATTGGGTAGTCAACTAGTCACTTACCTCTCTAATTCCATAACATGCTTTTCATTAACTATGTGGACAGTTGAATGCCCCTAGTGTCTCATATGTTGGAATTGACACCTTCAAGGACAGAATCATAAGTAGAAAGATGCTTTTTGGAGGGTTGTATAGTTTAATAGATTTAGAAATGTATTTTATACCTTTAATACCTTGTCCAATTAAATCTTGTGCTCTCTTCTAGCTTGAAGAATTCACACAAGATCTTACCGTTTCTCAGTTAAGTGATATTGCAGATTATTTAGAGGATGTGGCATAGAATTGGACAGTAGAGAAGTTTCAAGTGCTGGATTGAAGACTCTGATGGACTGCTATTTTCAGACAATCATTCTTTGCTGGAATGTCTGTTCCCTATTTGTGCCTTGTAGAGAGACCTCTTATAAAGTGATACCAAGAACTGAATGAAATAATTCATTCCAGCGTGAGTCTAGTATTGTACTTGTTCTTTGTTTGGTTCAGCAAAACCTTTCACACAAGGAGTTTGAATTTCCCAGCTGGATGTTCATTGCAGGCAATGGACACATCTAAACCATTAGTCTACATAGGAGAACATAACAGAGGAAATCAGCAAAGCTGTAGAACTTCTACAAAGATGTGTGACTTTCTAATGAATATACATTGTTATAGTAATATTTTGATTTTTAGATGAGCAAGGAAACTTAGAGTTAATGCTTCTGCTTACTAAAAACTTCAGCAGAAAACTTAAAAGCAGTCTATCTAAAACTTACATCTCTAATATGCATGGAGCGAACTAGGCAGACTTTTTAAGGGCTGAAGATTTTAAGAAGTGACTAGTGATTTTTGGGAGCCCATATAAGTGGTCTGTAAATGGTTTGATTGCATTGAAAATCATCCCCTTTATGGTGTCTACAATTCAGTACCTAAAATCAGTAGGCACTTTTAAAAAATCTTGTCTGAAGGGTTGTTTTAACTCTGGATTTTCTTTTTTTAATGTATTAGACCATTAACATTACTCAAAACTACTTTTTTTGTGTAATGATTGCATTAACAGCTGTTAAAATCCCAATAAAAATGTAAGATTCCTGTATGATCCACAGACCATAAAATTTCTGAAAAGAGCTGTTGTTGCTAAGCGGATCTTAATTTGTATTGACTCACTTTTCATTGTTTAAAATCCATAGGCTTTTTTAAAACGAGCACCAAAAAGTATGAAATAACGAGTTATCTGTGTATCATAATTAAATGATTGAACAGATTTAAACCCAAATATTTAAAAATAAACATCAGGCCTAAGAGATTGAACACACTAAATTCTTGCACATTTTTGTACTTCCATTATCAACTCTTGAATAACAGGGTCAGTAATGAAAACATTGACAATCCCTTTACTATACAGTTGTACATGGTGTTGCTATAGTATAGAGATTGTGGACATTTAGTAATACTGAAACAACCCTTCAAAATGTGCACTTTTTGAGCACTGTTAAAAAAAATACTTTGGAACAGATAGCTGTCAGTGAGAATATAAAAGTAACTTAATGATCTTTTGTATGCTTTGTTTTATTTCAGGTAAGCCACTAGCCATCTTCATAACAGTAGCATGCAATGCCATGTCAACTGGTAAAGCCTATAAAGCTGCTTTACTTTGATTTGAGCCTGATTTAGGCTCTCACTGAGCTAGCAGGTGTGGGTCAAAATTGGAAGGGTTTACTTGTACAATAAATAGATTGTGAGGGCAAAGGTGAAAAGTGACTTTTATTTATGTGCATGTACAAATAGCCAGCATAAAACAGAACACTAGCCATGCAGTTAAAAGCTTCTTGTGCCATAATGTAGCGATCTTCTGCACAAAAGAAAGATTTATTCTCTTAGACTATTCCATCCCATGTACTATGACCCCAAAGTAGCAAAGACCTTATACCCCTCTTCTCTCCCCCCAAAAAACAGCCTGTTCTGTTGTGGGTGCCAAAGCAGACACACACCTTCCCCACCCCCCACCTTCGGCGGGGGTTCATC